AGAAAGAAGTAAAGCAAATAAATTCATAATAGAAAGCAAAGAAAAAGAAAGAAAAAATAGACAAGACAAGATAATCAAAAAGAAAAACACAACCCATCTAAATGAATTAAAAAAAGCCTTAACTAATAATAATAAGAAGAAGAAGAATAATGTTGGCGCATCTTTAATTCTAACATACACTCTATTTGTATCATTCTACTAAGAACAAAAAAGAAACAACAATCCCCCTCTTTAATCTGATACGTTTTCAAATAATTTCTTTTACTCATTTATTTATTTCTCTTTTAATAAATACTATAATCACTATGGCGTTTTTCTCGTCATTGTTGATGTTGATGTTGTTGTTGTTGTTTTTCTTCTTTTTTCTTTAAACCGGAAAACTATTTATTTTTTTATTTATTTTATTCTACTTTTAAATGGTTTATTAATTTAAGCGGTAACTTTTTGTGTATACCATTTTTAATGGATTAAAACAAAAAAAATTTTTTTTAAAAGAAAAAAACATTGTACAGTCGAATGATTTATATTTTAAAAAAAGAAACTGATCTAAATAGCAACTAATGACATTTGAATCATTTAAGGAAACGTTTATGTTTTTTTTATAATTTTTTTTTAAAAATTTTATTAAATTATTATTCATTTATTATTAGTTTTTTTCCTTTTTTGTTCATTCTCTTCAGTAATTTTTCCGGTTTTTTTTTAAAAATTAAAATTTAACATTTACTTGTTATGTACTATTAGAATGTGAATAGATGAGTAGTTCACACTTGTGGTTGTTTGAAATTATCATAAACAGTGGCGATTGTTACGGTTATAATTAGACTAGAAAACAATTGATGAATAAAACAAATAGAAAATGATTATGAAGAGAACTAATAATTGAAAGAATTGTGTAGAATACTTACTTACCTACTTACTTATTTACACATGTTATTCCTCGTTGAAGAACATAAGCCTTTTGCCAGTATTCCTCACTTAACTCTGTAATGGGGTAATCCTTTCCAGTTGTTATTCATTCTTTTGATATCTGTTACCATTTTGTAACTTAGTGTATTCTTTCATCGTCTTCTTTTCTGTTTCCTTTCAAAATTCCAAGTACTAAACGATTGCCTTGTGATGCAGTTTAGTGATTTTTGTAATGTATGTTCTATTCAAGTTCAATAATTTTTCCTAATTTCTTGTTTAATTGGAAGTTGATTTGTCCTCTTCCAAAGTAGACTGTTGCTGATGGTATCCAGCTAACGGACATTGAATATCTTAATTATATAGAATATTCTCATACAATACTGATTCACATAAATAAACTGAAAATCTCTAATTGTTGACATATTAAACGATTAGTTCAGTTATGTACAATATGATTATTATAATCTGTTGTCTTGAACTAGTTTTTCTAAACACTATATTAGACATTTAATTAGAATTATGAAAATAGAAATAACAAAATATACATATTATAATAAGTAGTAACTGATACGTAGTAAATTATCTACTAGTTCATTTCTAACGTTCATTAATTCAGTTGAACTTGATGACCTGTGCCAACCAAGTGAGCGAGAATAGTACTCTTAACCACTCTTACCTATTCTTTACTCAACCTCGACGGATGATACTCTGTTATACAATGACGAACTTACTGAATTATATGCCCTATATAACTAGTTTCACAGGAGCAGTTGAATTGATAAATGCACATAGATTTGACAAATTCAAGCTAAATATAATGATTAGAGTATTCACAGTTTAGACACAGGATCATAACAGTTAACTTATTTACTTTATAACTAATCAACTTGATGATATGAAGATATTTTGAGGATGATTCATTTCAGGCGATGTAAACTTTATATAATTAATCCACTTTAAAACTACCATTCATTGTATTGTTACTAAAATGATTCCAGATTACATTATTCTGTGAATTAGTGTTAATTCTTTTTTTTGTTTGTTTGTAATGATAACCAAAAGTACAATATTCATATTCCCTTTATTATCTTCTTTTTTTTTGCGTTTTAGTTTGCCAAGTGTTCTTCATCACAAGATCATATTTGGTTGTTATTCCATTTTAGTTTATCACTATTATATATAAACTTTTCTCTTATAATGTTACTGTCTTTTCAGATTTCATCTCTGATAATTATTTTTACAGTATTGTGTCATCTGCTGTAAAGTCAAGTTCACAATAGATTCTATTTGTATTAAGAATAATCTTAATTAGAAGGAGCTTTTGCGGGGATTTTTTTAGAAATTTCAATAGTCGAAATCCTGAGTCGATTGAAGCTAGACCACCGTGAAAAACCTGGAAGCACTGAACGGCTGTTTCGTCCTGATATAAGACTCCTCAACACACGAAACTGATAGGTTCTAGGTTCGAATTTCGCGGGGAGCAGGATCGTGGATGCGCACTGCTGAAGAGTCCCATACTGTGACGAAACGGTTGTTCAGTTCTTTCAAGTTTTCCATAATGGTCTAGCTTCAATTGATTCATGTTTTCAACTATTGAAATTTCTAATAATCATAATTGTTTGTAATTTGCATTTATTTACAGATTGAACAAAAATCCCAAAAATCCAACACATTTGTACACTACATACCTAATACTGTTTAAGTGCATACTTTTCCTGTTACATACATGTGTTGTATATGTTAGCCAAGAGTTGTAACCTCAATACGTTTACCGATAACATCGATCTATATATTACCATAATGACGTTTATTTTAGATTTAATGACTATATAGGCTTCTTTCAAGTAGTTGTTCAGTTTTATTCATAATACTTTTATTTAACTATCTAGACAAATGAGACAATATTATTGATTTGATTTTGGTCAGTAAGAATACAAGTATCAAGAAGGGATTTCAAGCAATGATATATACATCAGTTCAATAGACATTTCAATAAAATAATGACTGTAAACAAGATATTGATACATCTTCAGCAATTTTTTATGAAATGTGTAATAAACAACTATTAAAGTCTAGAACTAACCAGCTCGAATTCATATTAAAGTTTCAAGGATTTTAACAAACTATACTATTTACATTGTTGTTCATTTTCTTCTTATTGAAAACAAAGTTTTACTTCTGATTTGAATTAAATATCGCCTTAAGTCAATTTAGACAAAGAGCATAATCTATATAGTATTTTATTTATTTATTTTAACACATAGATATTGGTGCAAGGAGGCAACAAATACATAAGCGCCGCACAAATCTCATTTGATATGTGAAAGGGGTGTGATACTGCCCGGGTGCACAAACCGAAGCAGGTGGTTTTCTTAGGGGGCTACACCCGGAACCTTCGACCTGAAGGTCTGATCCACAAGGCAATGGAGCATCGTAAGAAGATGCAGTCCCATGGTAGCCGGTGACCAACGATTGGTTCATACGCCATTTGTTTCTTCAGGATACTGGATCCCATGTGCACTATTGGTTTGGAATCAGGGTTTTCCAACTCCCCTAGGTGGACTCACCGTGTCCACCAACCCGGTTAAAGCGCCGGACATTCGCTTTTCGTGCTCTCAATTTCGTAATCAACAGTAATGTTGCGAGAAGGCACTGAGTAGGACTTCCCTGGCAGAAGCTATATATACATGGCCATGTGAGAGCGTTTCGAGAGGGAGAGCTGACTCTCCTCACTCTCGGCCGTACCAGGGCATTTAGGGGGATATATTATTTACTAGAGTGTTCATCTTTTTAAAAGTTAACTCAGTTTACAATAATGATGTAAGTGTAAATAAATACAAAATATATAAAACAAACCAACGTAGGACAAATAGTTCAAAAGAAGTGGATAAAATTCCGAAATAAAACATGAAATAATTAATTCATTTTTGTATTGGTTATTTAAAGTGAACTGTACTGGGTGCAGGTCTCAGAGTGAACATCAACTCAGGGATGCAGGTACATCCAGGTGATTAATCTTAAATAGGACGAAACGCATGTCCTGGATCTCACTATTACCCACTATCCATCTTTGCTTATAAAACTTATGAATTAAGGCAATATCGAAGCAATTCGTACAAAATGCACATACGCGAATATGAGACTAGTCAATCGCAGTCCTAAACATCAATGGTAAAATTCAAGTAAAGTAATACCAAGTAAATTTAAACTTCACCCGATTGCACAAGCAAATGGCTATCAGAATTCAGTTGCTAAGTGGATGACGCGATGGCGTATGAAGCGAACATTAGTGGATTCGAGTTCTAGAGTTAAAATCAACTCTGAGATGGAGATACATCTAGCTGACGACTCCCAAATAGAATGAAACGCGCATCTCAGGTTCCACTGCTATCCACCACTCGTCTTTGTTCATATGAGATAATTACTGGATAAACTTAGGGGGACATCAAGAATTATTATATCTGTGCATTAAACTCGACTTTTTTAGAATAATAGTTATTAATTGACACGTACTGATATAAATTAAAAAAACTTTTTATACATCTACTCAAAGATTTTACCAATATACAATTTGGTCTGGTTCTAGTGAGAAGGTGTGACCAGTGGAGTTCAATCGGGTCTGTTGTGAAATAGCAACTCACTGAAGAAAATAGTGGATATGTTACTCAATTTCATGGATTGGTTGAACTTAGACATTAACACCGTTGAATACCGGTTCAATGGTCTAGAGGATAAGCGTTTGCGCGCAAGACTGATAGATCCTGGGTTCGAATCTTGCGAGGTGTAATCGTGAATACACACTACTGAGGAGTCCCACAATAGGACAAAACGGCCATCCAGTGCTAACAGATTTTCCATAGTGGTCTAGCTCCAACTGACTCATGATCTCAACCATTTAAATTACTATAATATTCACACAAAAACATCCCTTCTGATATTAAGGCTAATTAGTATCTATGATCTGTTATCATTTTTATTCTTTCATGATACACTTAAAATGATTGATCGGTTATTTTTCTTTTGAAAATAAGATCGGAGAAAAAATAAGTTTAATATTATTGATTTTGTAAAATAATTTCTTCATTGTTTTCCAGATCCATTTATCAGTGTGTTAAATTTGAACTTATCAATGAAATAGATTCAGTATCAGTGTTTAATCTATTTTTAAGTGAGTTCACTAATGAATACATGTTTTATCAGTTTGTTTTAATTTTACATTTCATTTGATTGCTTTTTATATCTCTCTCTACTTATAAAGTATCAATCGTGTATGGAAAAGATTATGATAAAGTAGGTTTAGGTTGACTAGTGTATGTTGATTCTCTACTCTACGTTTCTATTAATATTTTAGCCTTTTTTGTACATCATTACTGTAAGATGACTTATTTAGAGTTAAATCACTGCATAATCTTCATGGATTTCAAATTATGAACAACCATTGAAAATACGGAAGCACTAAACAAATGTTTTCGTCCAAGTGTGGGACTCTTCACTAGTAGTATGCGTCCATGACTCCACAACAAGAATTATTGTTGTGATTATTATTAATTAGTGCAGTCTATGTAATGAGAAATATTTAATCTCCACAAATAACGTATTGTAGATCCAACTTCTGGATTGATTGTGAGAAGCTGTGATCAGTGGAGTTTAACCATGTCGAGCGTGATACAGTTATCCATCATGAACTATATTGTGAATTGATTGAAGTTAGACACGTTGGCTTAGTATACCGTGAGTCCTATGTTCGAGTTCTTATCACGAGGTTATTGCTGCTCAGTACAGAAGAATTCAACAATAGAACGAAACGATCACGCAGTGGTCCCAGGTTTCCAATTGTTGCTTAATTAAGATCAATTTGTGATTGGAAACCTATAAAAATTTTATAGCTTCCACAAAACTCCCCACACTCATAATTGCAAATCTCATACAGACATCGGTGTATTATTCCTGCTCTTTTAATCTTCTGGCAACTAGCCAGGTATATTTTGCAGACAAAACTATCTGTTGAATAGCTTTATTGTAGTGTTCAATGCTTAATTGTTACTTTTTGAGGAGAAAGCATTGATAAATTACGAAATAAAGATTCCTTACATGAATTGGATAGAAATATATAAATTCTTTGATGTATCTCAATGTTTTCGTCCGGCTGACTGAGAGACATTATGCAAAGGATGATATAAGCGAGTAAAATATATCGCTCCGTTTAAAATGGTATTCATTCATAAAAACGCGAAAGAAAGCGGTTGATAAAAGAGAGGTCATTAACGAAGGCAAGCATTAATAACAGTAATTATCAAAGAGGCGTATAATAATAAAAATGAGTATCAAAGAGGGAAATAACATTTTTAAAGTTGTGAAATCTGTTCGGTTTATCTTTCGTACACTTACTACTACATAGATTTTAGACATTTAATGAAGAATCTACTTTCAACAACGTACATAAAATGTTTCGAGTTTGATAACAATTCATTGTTCTTATTATCTTGATCATCTTAACAGCGTCCTTCCATTCTGAACAGCTAGAACATAATATATACGTTTTAGGTAATCAACCTCATTATTCATTGCATTCATTGATGTGTTCTCCTTTTTACTCACTGTTTCATTCTGTTGTGACTGTGGACTGCAGATTAGAGCAAAGCGTATTATCGATCGGATCAATGACACGTAAAACCGTATGAGCAGTCTAGAGTTCTGATTGGTCCCGCTTCCCTGTCTAGCCGAGCCAGTTGAGTCCAAAACGCAAGTCTCAGCCTCTGAGATATGAATCATTATATTTCAAGCATACTGAGTTTATATACAAATCAAACCGACCACAACGTAACAATAAAATATGAAACAGCATTTGTACAGGAATTAGCCAGATGTGGCTGTGAATGAGGGAGGTAGCGATTAACAGACAGGGAATAATTCATGAATGGTAAATCGGTTAATAATAGTTCATAGGTCAAAACAAAGCTCACAATAAGAGGGATATGAACAGTTTAGTTACGTAACAATTATACGATAAAATTATACTCGTAATATTGGTTCATAAATGGATCCCAAAAATTACCATTCATTTATTCTTATCGGGATACAACACGTTCATATCCTTGTTCGTGTGAACCGTTTAGAACAACGTAACTAAGTTATGTATTATCTGTATGAGATAAGTAAGTAGTATGTGGTTTTCAAATCTACATACTTCATTGAAACACTATCCTGGTATAACTTCAATTATTTAGTTAGTTTTACATTAGGTAACATTTAGGTTATATTTTAATTCTAAAATAATTTATAGATTAGTAGTATTTAAATTAAACCGAATTTTCATATCCAAACTGATATCTTTACCGGTTCCAATATGAAAAACTTGTAATTCGATACGTTTTATTCAGTATACTAATAACTATGTTAATGACAATGTACTACACATCAGAATGGTGTTGATGTTGCGGGAGGGGGGTAATGTTATACTATTTATAAATTACTCTTTACACACACTCATGATACGAAACACAATACAATCCGATTAGTTGAGATAAGTGATTACATATGTCACATAGTCACTGATTGTAGGCATTCTAATGGTTATTGAATGAATAGAATATGTAACTAAGTATGTGATACATGTAGTTATATTCAAGTCTAATAAGAGGTTTAGTAAATTCTAACTATTCATTATTGTATTTTGTTTCTTTTTTTAATAAATAGGTGAATATACCTCACCTACAGCGGATTTAACATTGTGTCATCCTACAGCGTTTAAATATGATTCATCAAAATGGATTGCCAGTAAGTAAGCTGAATAGTATCCTAAGAAGTATTTAAATATGATAAATAACTGTATATTTTTAATGTAGATGTTGATGATATTCCACATAGATTCATTTCAGTTGAGATATTCTTGAGAATTAGTAATGAATGGACAGTTAGTTTATTATAAAATAGGATACTTTAAAAGTGTGAACCTACAATGTCGTTATATATTGAACCTAAAACATCCTCATCTCGCTGGAAAGGCTTAATCATTAGAATCATTGGGTTGATATCAAATGGTAAATATTTCAAAATATAATCAATGTTCAATTTAGTCGGACTATTACTGGTCAAAAGCGTTTCTCTCTAAGTATGTTTAAAGTTCAACAGTCATGATTTCACACTAGAATTCCATAAATTTATGAAACAACTGTCTAGTGTTCTCTTAACTGATATCAATCTATGTAGAATATTACCTATAAATTGAACTTATGTCTACAAGACACTTATCTAAACTGAAAACTTTCAGCTTATTAGAGACTTACGTCTAGATGAGTTTCTGAGGTGCTGCTGTGAAGTTGTGACCAGCGGATTTCAGGTATATCGGGAAATAAGCAGCCATAACCAATGTCATAGAAATATCCTCACTTCGTATCACAAATTAATTAAACCTGGAAGTACTTACCAGTAAACAAACCAAATTTTCTGAAGTTTATGCGCTTTCTACACGACCTGAAGCTACTGAGTTTATTCTTGATGGTCATGGATGTACAATGCTGAGGCATCCTATACTACGATAAAACAGCTGTTCAGTTTTCTCTGATTTTACACCATCCAAAGTGAGATCAATGTATACGGAATATTAAGTTGTTTATGAAGTGATAAAATTGATTTTTAACTTCCAAAAAAAAAACAATATTTTAATAGACTACGAATATTATTTAAAGATTAATGAGATTTACAGTTTCATTTGATGAGTTAATTCACAGGTATTTGCCAAGGACTCATATGATTTGAGAGTACTTTAGTGGAGGCCCGTAGTTTGATTTTGTCCTCATTTAGATCGACAATGTTCGTTGAAGGGCTCACCATTTTAGTGGCCCGTGGATCTGACTCCTATTTAGATCGCATGGATGTTTGCTATCGCCTATTCTCGTATATCATCGTCGACTTGAATCGCGTTAGTCAATAACAGAATTAAATAAGTCGAATAACGAGAATTGACTTGTGAATACATATACTTTGTATATGAAACGAATGAAACAGAGCAAAGCAAAATGACACGCAGGGAAGATGGCTGGGAAGCCAACTCCATTTTAGTCAAGCGTTACTCAATATTTATAGGCAGACAAAATAAAACTACAGGCATGTGATGAGTCATGGGATATGAAGTGTACACACATATACGCTCATATAAAAACAGGCAAGAGTGATAAGCGAATAATCGACAAGGTCAAAATATGACTCAAGTAGAATGAATAGAATAGAATAGAATGTCCGAAAGCTAGAATAAGATACATTGGCTTAAAATAATGACTGACACTACAGTACCGTTAAAAAAGTGGAAATGATAAGGTGACTATTCTGTTTTAGTATAAAACTCCTCAACATGACACACCATGTTCCTGATAGGAATAAAACTCAGGACCAAAAACACCCACAGCTAACTCTTATCCTTAAGACCATTAAGTTGTAATCCAGTGGTCATTGATTCCACTGTAAATCTATTGGTGGTATGACGTGATGTCTATCGAATCCCACTAATGTTAACTGTCTAACTTCCTTAGTTAATAAATTGCATATTTTAATCATTGAATTGATCAGTTAATTTAAGCTAGATTACTACGGAAAACTTGGAAGCACTGGATGTCCGTTTCGTCCTAGTATGGGATTCCTTAGCAATGTGCAACCACGACCCCTAACGAGGGACTTGAACCCAGAACCTCAAATCTCGAGTGCGAACATTTAACCTCTAGACCACTCAGCCAGCAACTAGCTTCAATCAATCTATGATTTTACGCAACCCTTTATCCATTGTGTGAAGTGAATAACTGTCTCCAACTGACATGGATTAAAATCCGCTGGTCATGACTTCTCACTAGAATTTTAGGAAATCTAATTTGAATATTGTTTATTATAAAATGACTAGTATTTACATGGTACTGTTTAGTTTATTATTATCACTAAATTCTTTTAAAATTTTAGGTCTATCTCCAAATACAGAACTTAGCAAAACATTATGCCCAATATCAGGTGGATTTCAAATAAGTCAAATACTAGATTTAAAAAATAATGAAGTCAGTTTTTATATATTTTGAGTAAACTATTCGTATGATTATTATAAAATCTGATGTGTTATTGAAGTTCGACCATTACTTATATCATTTAAATTAACAGTACAATTTTTGATGGAGTTTTGTTCTCTGAGCTGGATGGTTTGGTCGTGGAGCTGTCATCGTTCTTCTGAACAACATCATAAGCACAAACTTCAGATAGAAGTCTTTAAACAATACAAAGATACTTTCTATTTAATATCGATCATAATTTTGATCTTTAAAATGTAACGATTGGTCAATCGTCCGTATCCATTCGGTAATCCAGATACTTCATTTGTAGCATCTGATCACAGAAATCAGATGTCTTATCACGAATTTCTTAATTTCTTACTAAAGGGGGTTTGAATTGCGTAGTTTGTATCGCAAGCTGAATTGAAGTAAACAACCATTAGAAAACAGAAGGCTTTGGACACTTGTTTCGTCTTAATATGGTACTCCTTAACAGTGTAGACCATCGATCCCACCTGAAACTGACGGTAGGGTCTTCCAATCTCTTTCAGCGAGGATTAATCCCAGGAGTTCTGGTGGAAGGCTACCATCATAGCAGTTCAATAGTAGTGGATGTAGGGCAGTTACCTACCAATGGCGTTGAAATATGATCGTTAGATATCTATTGAAGCTAGAAATGAAAACCATTTAGTGCCAGCTTATTGGTTTTAGGTTAATTGCTCATTGAGATGTGTAAACGTCTTGGGCTTGATCCCTTGTGAAGTGGAAGATGCGTAATACATCTGTCAAGCGTCTCATGGTTTTCAATAGTTGTGTAACCAAAATTGGTCCCCGATGGAAATTATTAATTGATTTAATTAGATAAACTACACATTTGGTATCAATTTGATTTCTGATGGTTTGAATTACTCCGTTGTTGATATTTCGACAGGAATTTGATCAATCTTGTTTGGGATATGTAGATTTTTTGCGGATCGCCTCAAATATATTCATTATGAGAATAGATAGAATGTGGACGGCAGTGGAATTCAGGACGTGCATCCCACCTCATTTAGGATTCGTCAGCTGAATGCACATGAACACTAGATTCGAGGTACACTCCAAAACTCCAACGTAGTAGTTTTCATACAGAAAATGATATTTCACAGATTGAAATCATGAATCAGTTGAAGCTCGACCACCATTGAAAACCTGGAAGCACATTTCTGTCTAGCAGATCATCTGTTAAAGTTTCGATGTAGCTAAACAATTTATCTGATTGCAAGTGAATTAATAATGAACATGATTTATCCTAAAAGCTGTTCCAATGCATAATTCAGATATCAATTATGATGAAAATGGTTAATACGTCCCTTCTTTTGTGACTTAGGTTAATTAATCTATATTAAACATAACATACAAAGTTTATTTTTAATGCAAAGCCTGTAAATCATGAAGTGGTGATAGGCTACGCGAACGATAAGTATGAGATGGTGATGATCACATTGTTGACCAGGTGTTAGCTTAATTATCCAGGGGAACACAAACACGCTATCGGTTGAAGATTCGTTTTAATTATATAAAGAAGACGTGTATTTATATTCAAGAATGGGGTCATGCATATATTTCGATCCAGGTTTCCCATTAGAAGTTTTGCTTACTCTTGGGTTTCTCACTCAAGTAGTTAGTTGGGTTCCCTTATAAGAAGCTCATGTATCAGTATTAGAATTGGACGACTCTCCAACACAAAATATAAAGTTTTTAAGAAAATCCAATATTGAAATGCTTACATTGTGAATGACAATTTATCATCTATTTAAGGCTACTTCATATATATATTGACTACACCACATAATAATTTTTTGCCTATTTCTACATAGGTCCTATGTGAACCTCATGTTTATTCGACTTTGGAAAGTGAGTGCATGTCAGGTGAAGGTATCTTATGGACATTTTTACAACCTCAATGTAATCCATTTATACAAAACTATAGTAAGTATTTAATAAGCTAATTCATATTTTCTATTGCATAATAATGATTAAACAGATTGAAGATTCTAAACACTGACAATGTAATTGAGTTATCAAAAGTTGTTAAAACAATAGTTTCATCAAATATTTTCAAAAATATGCAGTAATAAAGGATGACAATTATTTGAAGCAACTATAAAATATAATATTGAGGTTAACGAGATGTACACCCATATCATATGAAAGTATAATTTCCGATGGGATTTAAAATAATACAACCAATATTTACCATTACAAGCCTTTTTTAAGCCCATACTTTTGTTCTATATGCCTTCCAGTACAAAATAAGTCTAATTCTAGATACCTAAGAAAAAACACTATCAAATAATTAAGCTAGACTACCATGGAAAACCTGAAAGCACTGAATGGCCGTTTCGTCCTATTGCCGGACTCCTCAGCAATGCACATTCATGACCAAGTAGTGACCAGTGGAGTTCAACCGGATCTGTTGTGAGATAGTAGCTCACTGATGATAATGGTGGATGTGTCGCTCAATTTCGTGGATTGGTTGAAGTTGTAAATTAACACTATTGGATGCCAACCGGCTCAGTGGTCTAGTGGTTAAGCGCTCACGCTCGAGACTGATAGATCCTGGTTTTGAATCTCGTGAGGCGTGGTCGTGGGTCGTGTAAAATCACTGAATTCCTAATCAAGTCATTTAAAGTTAACACAATTTGCACAAGGATTGAAGATGTTTGTTTTAATACCCAATGGGGTTGTGAGAACTTGCTTTTAACGAGTATCATACTTGGATGAAATTTGCTCTATTAACTTAAAGTCAATCCATGGTGTTAGCCCTATTTAAGGAGGAAACCTTTTGGTTCATTTAAACATCTTGTGTTGACCGTAATGCTAAATGTTCAATTTCAGATATAAATAATCAAAGACAAATATAACTGTCAGTAAGTAGTAATTATATACCATCGTAAATTAACCACATTTGTTGATGATAGTGGTTTCATTTTATAACATTTCAATCGTTTATTTGTACTGCAATTTAATGATTAGTTTTTTTCTTGAATTGAGCCATAAAAGATTTTCTAAAATTACGTTATCATAATAACTGTCTAGTTATTATTTAGTTTCTGAAAGATTTCATATGTTCATTAGTGACAGTCTCCAAGAGGTATTTCCTGGAGTTCTAGTGAGAAGTGGTGACCAGTGGAATTCAAGCAGGTCTATTGTGTGATAGTAACTTACTGAAGACAATAGTGGATGTATCGCTCAATTTCGTGGATTAGTTGAAGTTCGACATTAACACCGTTGGATGTAGGCTCAGCGTTCGCGCGCGAGATCGATAGGTTCCGGTTTCAAATTCCACTCACAGGATCGTGAATGTGCACTGTTGATCAGTCCCACACTTCTAGGTTTTCCATAATGGTCTAACTTCAATTGAATCATGAATTCAACTATTAAACTTCCAACTAGTTTATGCTTTATTACAAATTAAGTTAAAAGAAGAAATAAACTTCACCTTCAATGATTGACGTTTTCTATTTTGAAAATTCAATTCAATTAACAATAGTATTGTCAAAATTATTTTGTTAGAAACAGAATTTCTTTTCACAGAATGAAAAAAAGGGAAAAATTATCACAAGCTTTATAGAAATAATAAACGGTTTGATATTAAATTCATTAACCATAGATGAATATAATACTACTCTAACGTTGTTTATTTATTCAGAATCATAATAAATATGATCTCATAGCATAGTTCATGAATACACTAACCTTTAAGCTAATTTTCACCTAAAGTTATTTTTGTCTATGTCAACTTGTAATTAAATTACTTAGGTTATCTTACTGTTTTATCGTTATTATTACTATTACTGGTATTATTATTATTACTACCACCACTACTACCACTATCACTATTATTATTATTATTATTATTATTATTATTATTATTATTATTATTATTATTATTATTATTATTATGAGTGTTCCCCATACTTCAAATCAAAATAATAATTTAATATTTATTTTCCATAAATAAACTAGGTAAGAGTGATATGATAAATTTCTTCCATAATTGAATTAAATATTATGCATGAGAACATGAAAAAACGATGAGAGGGGTGGGAGAGGATGGGAGGGGAATAGATACATTTAATGCTTTTTTGAAATAGTAATAAACATGAAATAAAAAATTTAGTATTATTCCTCAAAAAGAAAATTTATTTATACTTTCTTTAATCTATTTTGTTTCTCATTAATATAGTGGAAGAACTATAGTCACCTCTCCCCCCCCACACACACACAAACACACGTACACACACACCTACCCATATACAGAAATTATAATTTCACACCGTGTAATTGAGATCATCCATTTAGAGTTTATGAATTAACACACAATTATCATAGTGATAATTTTATTATAAACACAAGTCATTACTACTAATAATTATAGAATATATTAGTAGTATAATACTGATAATAAATCATAATGTATTTTTGGTTTAATTAGTTAGTTAACTTGATACTTTTACACTAAATGAATGAAAAAAATAATTAGAAAAGTGAGAGATATATGCTTCATTTTACTCTTGCTACTAAATACCTTTCATAACAAATAATTTGGTTATTACATTGGAATAAAGGAGGGATTTTCATGATCTTTAGTACTATTACTACTACTACTACTACTACTACTACTACTACTAATAATAATAATAATAATAATAATGGTAATAATAATAATAATAATAATAGTAATGGAACTAATTTAATTTGTAAATTATTTTCCAGTTTTTGACATTGTTTATTTCATTAAAATTATATTGGTCTAAAATCACAGAAAAAGAAAACAAAACAGAACAAAAAATATGATTGTTGTTTGTTTGCTTGACAGAAACATCTTTCATTCAAAAGAATAAATTTCATGTCTGAATGCTCGAACAAGGTCGTTATGATGAAGTAGTTAGACAATATTCAATTTATTGAAAAACAATTTTCTTCATTTGGTTCAACGGGTTATTTTTTGAAGTAGATGATTTAGTTTGTAGATTGTATTCGTCGAATATTGATCACATTTAGGATCTTGTTGAAGTGGTTGTTTTGTCTTGATGTAGAACATTACAACAGTGAACAACTATAATCACAACAGCGCTTCAAGCTGATAAGGTGAATATTTAACCGTTAGAACTACTGAGTCGGGATCAAGCGGTAGATATTTTCAACTTAGGTCAATGCTCGACACATTATGACAATCATTCAATAGCATAGGTGACAACTATTTCATTGTCAGTATATCTGAAATCCATCGGTTATAACTTGACATTAGAACTTCAACAATTTATCTAGAAGTAAGTTACTAGTGACTTAATTGAACGAGGACTTCGTAGATACTACTTGGACTTTTAGATTTCATTCACTACAGACTGATTTCAATTGGAATATCATTGAAAGTCATGTGACAGTGTGTAGTTAGTTCATTCTAGTTTGGAACCCTATGGCAATGATTTTTGGTTTTCATTAGTGTCCAGAGTGAAATGAGTCTATGACGAGTGGGACCTATAGATTTGCTAATTATTTTGAACACATATATCAATACAATCGGATTTACTAGGATAGTTAGTGATAATAAAGTTTGTCTGAATTATTGAAAATGAATTGTTGTAAACAAATACAACAAAATAAATTGCTAATTCATATAATGAAGACTGTTAATTTGATAGATTTCCCACAATGTGAATTATAGATATGTTTACTTCCAGACGAATCTGAGATCTTAGTTAGATGGATAATTAACGCTTAACACTAAACTTAATTCATCAGATATCTTAACACTGTTAATCCTATCCATCTTGATCCTTTGATAGATTAAAAAAATACCAGAAGAATTTTGATGTGAATCAAATAATATGCTTCCTTAGCTCATTACTTACTTGGATAATATATACTCTAAGTGTTGGTGGTTTCCAGTGGCGATTTCATGAATATATACGACAATGAATATTGAGTAAATTAAAATTTAACAAAATGAAACAAAAGTATTAGGAATAACAACGAATGTTATAAGTTACGATAAATTCACCTGAGAAATGGTTGTTTAATGTTTTGAAATTATTAGTTCGATTATTGTTCTACAACAGTTTATTTATGAAGTGTTATCTTAAACCTATAAGCAAAGATGGATAGTGGCTAGCAGTAGAATCCAGGATGCACGTTTCGTTCTATTTGGGACTCGTCAGACGGATGTATCCACATTACAGAGTTGATGTCCACTCTGGGACTCGAATCGAGTACCGTTCACTTCAAACGTCATCGCATTAGCCGCTTAGCAACTGAGTCATGATAGACACTTGCTTATGCAATTGGGTGAAGTTTAAATTCATTTGGTGTTGTTTACTTAAACCATCCCATGTACTGGTATATGTACTAGGTCTGAGTCCCAGAGTGAACATAAACTCAGGGATGCAGGCACATCCAGATGACGAGTCGAAAAAAGGACGAAACGTGTGTCCTGAATTCCACTCCTAGCCACTATCCACCTTTGCCTATAATGCTTGTGAATTAAGGTAATATCGGGGCAATACGCACAGTATGCACATATACCGATAAGAGACTGATCAATTGCAGTCCTAAACATCAATGGGAAGATTCAAGTAAAACAATACCAGGAGAATTTATCTCTAACTTATTTTTAAAATATAAATACGCTTTGTTTCAGTAAAAACATATTTTACTAAAACTCTCTAGTACTGAGTTCAATGTCTTTATCGTAATTTTTCAGATTATACACCTTCAGTATAGTTCCGTGCTAATGTTTTTTTTCAAAATTGTATTAGCAGATTACGGTTATATTAAATGTACACTCAGAGTGTAAACCGACTTGCGCAATGTTTTAACATATAGCATAGAAGGTTTGTGGAGACCATACATATTTCATTGTATAGTCTAAATGTCATGGTTTTAAGCCTCTGTGGTAGGATCAAGGCTACTCAGTACTGAGGGGT